AGGATTGTCTCAGAAAGCATATATTGAAAAAGTTCTAGAAAGATTTGGTATGGAACATTATTAAACCAGTATTGTTACATACATAAAAGGGGATAAATTCAGCCTAATGCAATCCCAAATAATGAGTTAGTTAGAAGGTACAAAAACGAAAAATATTCTTTATGCATATATTGTGGAGTTTGATGTATATACAAGTTGGTATGGGATAAAAGATTATATGCTCACACTTATGAGGACATTTTTTAATTGGTTATTTGTTTCTTTTGGCTGGAAGAACAATATTATGAAAAAGTACAAAGTAATTTTTTATTACTTTGTCTATTATGAATTTTTAGTTTGTAGCATGCTTTGAGGTTACAATTTATTATTGCAGAATTTATTTCAGGATTTGGAGTTATGGGTACCATTTTTAGATTGCTGAAAATTTATGCTACAATTGTTGATCTTCTTATATGAAAAATGATAGGTATTCTAAAGTTGAAATACTTTATCATTAAAGAAGATGTTTAGAAACAACGAATGCCTATTGAGTATATAAGCACACAACTGATAATTACAATCCATTAACGAATGGACTACCACCCAAGACATTTATGGAACATGTTAAAAGAATGGGTCTTGAACATAGTCAATGATGATTATTTTTTAATTGTGGATTGCTTAACAGTGCTTATATATATTTGACATTTTGCGCTCATTAAATGTGTTTCTGATATTTCCTATTAATTAATGTACATGTACGTATTGCTTTAATAAGTGGTAATAGGAATAGTCTTGGAAAAGACATTATTGTTAGATCATTATTGAAACTTCTCATTTATAGACTATGTTAAATAGGTTACTGGTGTTGTGGTACATGGAAGGGATTGTGTCATTTAGGGACATACAACCGCCATGACTCACATTAGTAGTTTGTTTACCATGGTATTTATGATGACCAACTTAATACCTTAATCTGATTTATGGTGTACACTAATGACTATTTTACTAAACCACTACAGAAATTATCATATGTGTCAAGTGGGAGAATGTAAGATTATTTATTTAATTGTGGCTCACATGATTTGGACATATGACATATTACTTGGTGGCTAAATAAATAGATATCAGATTAATATTATATTATATTATTTGGTCAACTTATAATTACCTTTTTGGTAATTACTTATTGGAGTAGTATTTTCCTTTCATATTCCTTACTTTGATGGAAAGTAAAATTATGTTACTAAAAGGAAAATTGGTCCTCTCTCTGCCTTTATAAAAGTGCATATACTCCATCAATTATGTATGCTAATGAAAATAACACGTAAAAATTTTATGTGTACAAAAGGCCAAGAGAGAGAAAACAGTTTCCACCTTTGCCTGTTAATCAGAGTTGCAGATTAGTTCGTGACTAAAGGATCTAGACGTTGGACTTAATCTCAACAAGATATTTACAATTAGAGATCGATGTATTTATATCTAACTACTTTATTTATGCATTATAGCAATATGAAAATAATGAAGTTCAAAGATCTTAGGATCCATGTTTATTTGTGATTGAATGGCTTAACACGAATAAATTATAGTTTACACATGGAGCACGTATTCGGTATGCATCGTGCACATCACAAGCATCCGTGTTATATATGTGCAGCCGCATGTGTAACACGTTCAAACATAGACGGTTATAATGTGTTTGGTGTGCAGAGCACTTCGTATATATTCACCAGATCTCCATGGGACATTTCCTATACAATATATGTATAAACTTAATTCTCACCATGTAGAGGTTGCACGCGATTCTTCTTTAGCTGTGTCATTAATTAATAAAATCTCCTCGATCACATAACAAAAAGTTTTTTTTTTCTTTTTGGTAAATCTTATTATTACATGACAGGTGATACATGTCATCACCATGAGTAATTAAGTCTTTTTCCATGGTAAGTGTTATAAGGGGCCATTTGTCTCACATTGAATTTAGATAGAAAAGTGATTGAGGATAAATAAGTGAGTATGCAGCACTACCCAACAGTTTGAACTTTTAGTTAAATGGGCAAATGCCCACCCATTCAGTTAGTATCAGAGCTAGATCCAATCCTTAATTCGGTGCTACGCCAAGCGTCCGGTCCAGAAGGCGTCCAGGTGAACCACCTCAGGTAAGCAAGGTAGCCCGATCACAACGAGAAAATTTCGAGTTCGGGGGGAAGAAAATGTTATAAGGGGCCATTTGTTTCACATCGAATCTGAATAAAAAATAATTGAGTATAAACGAGTGAGTATATAATACTATTCAACAATTAGAATTTTTGAATAAATGGACAAGCGTCCAAAAAAATTTTAAGCCCACTTGAACTCCTTTGTTTTGAAACCTTGGTGATAGATTGATAGTTCGAATTACTGCACTAATATCAATAATTCATAACACTCATTGTAATAATATATAAATGGGCGTGTATTTATAAGTATATATATATATATACTTATAAATACATGCCCATTCATGGGTTTGTAAAAATCCAACGGGAGGGCTACAAGTTACAAAAACCAGGTACGCTGCACATGCTTTGCCAATGACGCCTCAATACACGGATCAAAATGCCCATGCCAACAGGCTTCTTAAAAAATAAAAAAAAAAATAAAAAAAAAGGCTTGCACTCTGCTCATGAAATTAAGTACTACGGAGTAGTACATTTCCACAATAGTTTTTGTCATTGCTTCCCTAGATTTCGAAGCTCATAATTTACCTACTCATATGGTTTCACATACCACTTCCAAGTATTTAATTACTTCTTTATTGATCAACTAATAATTTATGGATACAATTTTAGGTCAAATGTTCAAATCTATGTCCTCTGTTTTCAACATTTTTATTTTTAAAATTATAATGGGTTTGGAGTCTTTGGACTCCATCACTATATTGTGCACAACACACATCAACACTGTAGGTCTCCAAACATGATGGAGGGGTAAAATGGTTCCATTTAATCAGGGCGGAGCCAAAAATTTGCTGTTGGGGGCGAGTTTGAACTATATAATTAAAGTTATAAAAATTTATACATCAATTGTAAAAATTCTTAAATTTGAGCTTTTAAAAATATAATTAAAAGAGTCCAAGTTGTAAATTTACTAAATTTTAAGGACACAGGCTAAAATTATTTTCAAATTCCCTATTTTGAGTCAATATACTAGTGTTTTGAAAAAATTTAGGGGGCTAATTGAAATTTTTAATGAATTTTAGGGGCAATACTTACAAAGTAATTAATATTTAAAGGGTATAATAAAATTTTTAAGAAAGTTTGGGGGTCATGGCACCTCATGGCCTACCCCTAGCTCCGCTCTTGCATTTAATGATCTTAAATCATAAATGAAAGTGAACTTTAAAACCTAAAATACATACATGTAGGTTTTGTTGAAGGAGTAATGCAACAAGTATGTCTGTTGGTTTTGTCTCTCTCTGCTACCCTGTGGATTTACGTTGGGTTCCTCCCGGTCTATTAGAGTTACACATGGTTAAGAATGTCTGATGGATAATTTGAGTCCGCGAAGTCGTGATTGGGGTGCAAATGACTGAATCCTTCACCTCAAACTCATCCAAATCTTTAACTTCTAAAATTGCAATGTTAGTTGGTGCTGGATGCTCTAATGCGACAAAAACCATTTAATCTTTGATTCTCATGACGATGGTCATGTCTTAGCTTAGCGTTAAGTTTCTATAGAGTTGTCTGATTTTGACTTTGCTATGATTCTTTTGCGTTCATGCTGTGTAATTGTTTTGGATGTTGGTTGCTCTTGTAATAAAATGTTTTCTTGTTTGCCCGGAACCAAAAAAAAAAAATGCAACAAGAGAAATTAATCATGCTGTTAATTAGGATGATAAATATTTCAAAATACATGCATATAAAGACAAAGTTAAGGCTCAATTTAATTATCAAAACGGATGAAGACCACTCTTGTAATTAGCTCACTTGTTATAATTGTCTCTTTAAAATTACTACAACGACCAAAACATAGTAATTGGAAAAAACCATTGCTCCATTTTAATGTATTTAATTAGAGTATATCACACCGTAGTATTAATTACTTATATAGAGACAATAAAAATTTCATTACAAGAGTGGGTCGGTCACCTGATTCCATATAATTATATACATTAATGTATTTAATTTAAATGTGTTCGATTCCAAATTAACAAGAAAACTATCAAATCTAGTTGGAGTTTGGCTAATCCAGGCTTGCCCTAATTGGGGGGTGGGGGGGGGGGGGGGGTGGGAAACAAAGCTTGCGCTAATTAGTTTCCTACTTCTCTTGTGGGAATGGCAAGCTCTAGTTTGGTGAGCCAAACCGGAACATTACTAAACCCTATTAATTATAGTTTGATGGTACCTATTAAATATCTGAGTATATTTTTTGTAAAAAAACAAAAGGAAAAAACCTATTAAATTGACCTCATTTGTGTAAATTATACACAAGTAGATTGTTCAACGTTTATTATTCTGACTTCTCATAAACTTGTTTACCGACTACAGGAAGTTGACTTTAAATGTCAATAGTTAGTAATGCTTTGATTTTCAGACAAAAGGAGGACAAAATTGTCATTTTATAAAATTTAGGTGGTGTCATCGAGCATATGCGCCAAATTTTAGGAGATGTCAAAGAAGTAAACGCTTAACGGTCTATTGTGTGTAATTTATCCAAACCTCAGGGGAGGTTAGTGTAATTTATTCAAAACTTATTTTTGGATTGGCAATGGTGGGCTTAGAATTTAGCTGGCTCAACTGGGCTTAAATAGAGGCAATGCAATAACGTTGGACCTGAAGGTTGATGGGCCAGATCAGGCTGGTTTCAGGCCCAATCCTTTTATTAGTAACATTCATTAGGAATGAATGAATTGAATCTTGGTGCAAAGTGCAAAGAGATATTGTGGGCTGGTGCTGACGTATGGGAACCAAAATGCCAAACCCTCATTCATTCATTCATTACCTAAAGTATCGTATGTTCGGTCATTCGTGTGCGGCTATGTTGGTAAAGTGTGTATATAATATATATATATGCATAAGATTGTGAGTTGTGAGATGGTGGGTATATTCATAACACCACTTAGTCCCACTGGCTAAGATTGTGAGATACTACTACATTATATCATCATCATCATCAGATTAAAGATAGGAGCAAGACACCATGTACTGTTGCTACTAGCCAAAGAACCCGCCACACTCATACAGCTCCCTCATGTTCGAAACCCTAGTCCTTGTCTTTTGGTAAACAACCTCTCTCTCTATATCTATCTATCTATCTATAGCTTTATCTGTATCACTCTGTGTCTGCTCTCTTCATTTCTGTTGTTCTTTTGAGTGCAAAAGATGGGTTTTTGCATGAACCACTGTGACAATGTCTCTGCTAGGCTTCTCACTCCCACCTCCAAACCCTATATCTCCAAATCAGACCCTTTTCGCCTCTTTTTCTACTCCAACAAGCCTTCCAAAAACAGCAATTCATCTTCTTTCAAACTCCATTCATGGACGCCTCTCGTGCACTCGCCCAAATTGCTGCGGAATCGACCAAACTCCGTGCGATGTGAGTCTGTTACCAACGATGATTCCACGAATTGGGGAGGATTTGGGAAGACAGCGACAGGTAAAAGAACAGATATAAAGAAGATTTTGATATTAGGTGCAGGGCCTATTGTTATCGGTCAAGCCTGCGAGTTCGATTACTCGGGGACTCAAGCTTGTAAGGCTCTCAAAGAAGAGGGATATGAGGTTGTTCTGATTAATTCGAATCCCGCGACAATTATGACTGATCCCGAATTGGCAGATAGGACTTATATTGCTCCAATGACACCGGAGCTCGTTGAGCAAGTGCTCGAGCAGGAGAGACCCGATGCTTTGCTGCCCACAATGGGTGGGCAGACGGCTCTCAACCTCGCGGTGGCATTGGCTGAGAGGGGGTCTCTGGAAAAATTTGGTGTTGAATTGATTGGAGCAAAGTTTGATGCAATCAAGAAAGCAGAAGATAGAGATCTGTTCAAGCAAGCTATGAAGAATATTGGGCTCAAGACACCACCTTCGGGCATTGGGACGACTCTGGAGGAGTGTATTGAAATTGCGGATTCAATTGGGGAGTTCCCTTTGATCATAAGGCCTGCATTCACGTTGGGCGGGACGGGAGGTGGGATTGCTTATAATATAGACGAATTCGAGACTATTTGTAAGTCGGGGCTTGCAGCTAGTGTGACATCACAGGTTTTGGTAGAGAAGTCTTTGTTGGGATGGAAAGAATATGAGCTTGAGGTTATGAGAGACTTAGCTGATAATGTGGTTATTATATGCTCAATTGAGAATATTGACCCGATGGGGGTCCATACAGGGGATTCCATCACTGTGGCACCTGCTCAGACTTTGACAGATAAGGAGTACCAGCGACTTAGGGATTATTCAATTGCAATTATTAGGGAAATCGGAGTTGAATGTGGTGGTTCAAATGTTCAGTTTGCCATCAATCCCAAAGATGGGGAGGTTATGGTAATTGAGATGAATCCTAGAGTTTCGAGGTCTTCAGCTCTGGCTTCCAAGGCTACTGGTTTCCCAATAGCAAAGATGGCTGCCAAGTTATCGGTTGGTTACACCTTGGATCAAATTCCTAATGACATCACAAAGAAAACACCAGCCAGTTTTGAACCTTCTATAGATTATGTTGTGACGAAGGTATGAATTTTTATCATTATATTGCTTTTATATCCCTGCTTCTATTTATCCTTTTAAATTGTTTTTATTTATTTATTAATCTCCATCTAACAATTACAATCATTTCTAAGGGTGAGCCTTATCCATGTCAGAAATGTGGAGTGCCAACACTTCCCGATGTGTGTTCCACACATCTTTGCCGTATCCATTTTCTTTGTTGAATGTGTTAGCTTCAGAACTGTTTCTTAGGCATTGCCTTCTCACAAATTGGTTGGGCCTGCCAAATTTGTTGTGAACTTAATTCAGACTCTTGTATTTGCATTAGCAGTTTTATCATGCCCTGCCTTTTGACTTGAATTGTTTGTCATGCTTAGCTTTTTCGAAGTAGGTGTAAGATCGAGTGTCCATCTATCTGAAGGAATAGCATATTCGTTCTGAGTTTTTCTGTCCCACTTATTTTCCTTAGAGAGTTTGAAAGGGATTTCCCTTGGACTACTTCTTTATGGAGGTTGGTGCCTGTGAATTTCATGGTACATCAACCAGACAACAAGGCAGCATCTATAGATAGCTATTGAAGTATAGCGAGCTAGGAAGCACGGATACTTCTACAAGGACGACAGAGTATAGAGTGTTCATAGCGGATACCGAAGCAGATACATGTTTGATGCTTCTTAAACGCATCCATAATTTTAAAATATATTTTTAAATTTCTAATATGTATCCGATACTTCTCAGATATTTCAAAACACATTTTAAATAAGTTTTGAACCTTAAAATGTAACGTTTCGAACAATATTGTAATAGTATAATTGTTAAGAAAAGTTCAAAATATATCAAATGATGACTAGGGATGCTTGTTTTCTACATTGTGAAACGAACTACTATGTTATATTAATGATTGGTTTAGATTCATAATATTTTAAAAAACAGACCAAAAATTAGTTTTTTGTATATATAAAAATATAATTTATTACTCCCACCGTCCCACAAAAAAATGTCCCTTTTTGGAAATCTAACTTTTTAGGAGTGTAGTTTTTAATATTTTTTTATTATAGTGGTAGAGAATTAATTTCCAAATATACCCTTCTATGGTGGGTCCACATGAAGTCATTACTTTTATAACTTCAAGGCAAGGAGGGTAAATTAGTAATATTATAAAAATAGTACATTGGATTTTGATTTGGGACAATTATTTTGGGACAGCCAAAAATGGAAGGGTGGACATTTTTTGTAGGACGGAGGGAATATTTTTTTTACTGCCATATTCCTACTGTACCCGTATCCTTTAAAAAAAAAAAAAAAATTGCTATATCACCGTACCTGTATCATGTCGTATCTGTATCCCGTATCCATATCCGTGCTTCCCAGATAGCGAGGAATGTCATAGTTTTTATTAGTAGAATCGGAGGATTGGTGGTGTCTAACTCTAGCTAAAGAGTTGGTATTTTGGATTAGATTTAAAAAATAATCTTATCCGTAACTTCCTTTTCCTTTTGTGTTGAAAAAGTGGTCGACGAGGGATTTTGAGATTTAAATAAGTTACATATTGTTATTAGACCTTTTGAGTGGTAATTAATTTGAGAAAGGTGTGGACTCTAAAGATTCAAGATCCTTTCTTTTAATTGGGTGATGTTCCCCAAATAGATTATAATTTTTTTTTGGTAGTGATATGTAAATATAGTAGTGTCAATTTCACTGTATTTTTCATAACTTGAGTAAATTCTGGTATTTCTCCAACCTTCTCAGAGTCAAATTCCAGCCTTTCTCCTTAAACTTTATTTGGAGATCTTTTGTTCAATTGGTACTTTTTGCATGCATTCTTCAGCCCCTCCATGCACTGCACTCATCCTGGGACTCTTAGTTGATTGCTTCTAGAAACATATGAGGTCCAACCCCAAAATAGTAATTTTCTCAATGGCGGTGCCAAGCCTTTTTTTTTTTTGTGGCATTTTCAATTTCCACAGGGCGGATTGTAGTTGCATGATATACAATTATTTCTGTTTTGGGTGTGATGAATATATATATTGTGAAAATTTTCATAAATTTTTTCCTAATGATATTTTCTTGCTTTATGTAATGATTGAAATATAGCTAGAGTTATTTTTTAGTGAAAAAAAACAAAAAATTGAAGCCCAATTTTTGCCCTCAAGTTGCTATTCTGTCTTGATATTGTATGTTGGAGTTCAAGGAGGGAGAGGATGAAGAAACCTCTAAGATTAGACAAGTGTTGGAAGACTAAAATTGAAGCTTTTCTTGGCAAACTGTAATTTTACTCTCAGATTCAAAAAGATCATGATGCAATATTTCCTTTGACTCTTGATAAACAACAACAACAACAACAACAACAACAATCATGTCTTTTTCTCAACTACTTGGGGTCGGCTACATGAATCCTCTCTCTTTTCCATTCCGCTCTATTTAAGGCCATAGCCTCAGTCTTTTACTCTTGATGAGTTCAATTATTCTGTTTAGTCCTGTTATTTCCCTTTTTAGAATCCCTTTATTTAAATCAAGTCATCTTACTTTTATTACTTTATTGCATTTACATTAACAATTCAATTCTGGTTATATGACTATCATTTGGAAGGTATTCTATATGGCATCTTCCTCTCAACTGTGTTCTTCTGTATACAATTTTATGGAGAAAGTAACAATTTAAGCAGGACCTGTAAGTAAATGTGGGAAAAGCTGTTGCTACTTCAATTATCCCTACTATGGTTGCCTCTAGTATTTATTAGGACTTGTGTTATGATTTCTTGTCGTCGTTTCGGCAATTCTCTGATAAGGCTTAATTGCCTATTATTGAATTTGAATCTAATTATACTGATTCCAGATTTTAGTTTACTAGGTCTTAGTTGCAAGTGTCAAATTTTGTGATTATTAAGCAATGTAGTAGAAGAATTGGAGGATGAAGGTGTCTCCACAAGATTTATTTTTTGTATTACATTTCAACATTATCTACAGCTCTCGTGTTAATTAAAACCATGAAGCATTTTTTTACTATTCCAATATTGTGGCTATTCTAGCATACAGACTTACATACATCCAAATTATTATGATCCTATTTGTTGTTATTGTCATTCTAATTTATTTGTGCTTCCTTATTTTCTTTTCTTGGGTATTTCATCAACCCACACCATCTATATGATATATTCTTGTTGTGTAAATCATGCAGATACCCCGCTTTGCATTTGAAAAATTCCCAGGATCTCAGCCAATACTGACAACCCAGATGAAATCAGTTGGTGAATCCATGGCACTAGGCCGCACATTCCAGGAATCGTTTCAGAAAGCTGTTCGATCATTGGAATGTGGATTCTTTGGATGGGGTTGTGCACATGTCAAAGAACTAGACTGGGACTTAGAGAAAATAAAGTACGGCCTTCGAGTCCCTAGCCCAGATCGGATCCATGTTATATATGCTGCAATGAAGAGGGGTATGAAGGTGGATGACATTCATGAGGTGAGTTACATTGACAAATGGTTTCTCACTCAGCTAAAAGAGCTGGTGGATGTGGAACAGTACCTCTTGGCTCGAAGTTTGTCCCATTTGACAAAGGATGACTTCTTTGAAGTAAAAAGGAGAGGTTTCAGTGATAAGCAGATAGCCTTTGCAACAAAATCCACCGAGAAAGAAGTTCGCTCAAAACGGTTGTCATTGGGCATTACTCCGGCATATAAACGGGTTGATACCTGTGCTGCAGAATTTGAGGCCAATACTCCTTATATGTACTCCTCCTACGATTTCGAGTGTGAATCAACTCCCACCCAAAGGAAGAAGGTCTTGATTTTAGGTGGAGGACCAAATCGGATCGGTCAGGGGATTGAGTTTGATTACTGTTGCTGCCACACATCCTTTGCTCTCCAGGTTTGTAACTTCTTAGTGGCTATCTTCCTTCCTTTCTCCTCTAGCATGTCTGGTAATTCTATGCCTTTTAGTATTATCAGAGCAATAAGGCAACCTGCTGAACAGCATTCGAATTAAATCCTGTGTTTTTCTTGGCACGTCTTGTTGGTAGCATTCTGGCCATTTACATCAGGCAATGCCCTTCGTAAATGGCTAAAAGTAGATTGATTTATTGAGATCTTGTCAACATGTAATAAGCATTCTGAACTCTGAATTTGATCACTATGTTCAATTACTCGCACACTCTAAAATCTAAAATAGTGTCATAGGTGGTGTTCATTTAGGGGAGATTGATCAAACAAAGGAATATAGTTGATGATAGGAGAGATCCATATCATATAAAAGCGCAGACTGCATTTTTGTTCGTATTGGACTGTGGCCCTTCTGCTTTCTTTCTTTTTGTTTTTCCGTTCTTTGATTTATTTCTTTTGATGGATAACTGTGATTTATTCCAACACCCAAGTGCCAAGTCTATGTTACAAGGACTTTTCACAGGTACGTGAAATGCCCTTGTCAATAACGCTTGGACATGGGTACTGAGTCCTACAATATATTTGTCCCACGTGTTTGGGCGGACATGCACCTAAACAGCTATCAATAATCCAATTTTGTTGAATTATTGCTTCAAGGTGAATGAAATGCCTTTGTTGAACACTGTTATAAAAACAATATTTTACTCCAGAAAAATATTAAATGATATGAATAAATAACAATGTCCATGTGCAATTATTCTTTGGGGGTTTGATACATTTTACTCTTTCCGAGCTCAACATACTTACCAAAATCTATATGAACACAATCCAAGGCCATCAAGGATCGATGTGCATAATGGTTAAACATAGAAGCCAATGGAAGAAGGAATGAATCACACATAAAGGCCTGATGGCTGTATATACAGGAGAACAGTGGAATATATGCATTACATGCTTTTTCACATGGTCTTGTTTCAGTCACATGGTTTTCTTGTGGATTTACTTTCATTTGTCAGTTGCATTTTTGAGTCTGAACTTTGTTTCTTGGTTCTATTCAGGATGCAGGCTATGAGACAATCATGATGAACTCAAATCCCGAGACAGTGTCTACCGATTATGATACAAGTGATCGTCTCTACTTCGAACCTCTGACAGTTGAAGATGTTCTTAACATCATTGACTTGGAGAGACCTGATGGCATCATTGTGCAGTTTGGAGGTCAAACCCCTCTGAAACTGTCTCTCCCCATCCAGCAATACTTAGACGAGCACAAGCCTGTTTGTGCCAGTGGGACTGGGTATGTTCGCATTTGGGGTACATCACCTGATTCCATTGATGCTGCTGAGGACAGAGAGAGGTTTAATGAAATCCTGAAGGAACTTGAAATTGAACGGCCTAAAGGAAGCATTGCCAAAAGTGAAGCCGATGCTCTTTCTATTGCAATGGGGATTGGATACCCTGTCGTTGTCCGACCTTCCTACGTCCTGGGTGGCCGGGCGATGGAGATTGTTTATAGCGATGACAAGCTTGTGACGTATCTTGAAAATGCTGTTGAGGTGGACCCCGAGCGTCCTGTCTTGGTTGACAAATACTTATCTGATGCCATAGAGGTCGATGTTGACGCTCTTGCCGACTCACATGGTAATGTGGTGATTGGTGGGATAATGGAGCACATTGAGCAGGCTGGTATCCATTCTGGTGACTCAGCATGCATTATTCCCGCAAAAACCATCCCCTCATCATGTTTGGACACAATTAGATCATGGACTTCAAAGTTGGCAAAGAGGCTAAATGTGTGCGGGCTCATGAACTGTCAGTATGCAATCACAGCTTCTGGGGATGTTTATTTGCTTGAGGCTAACCCCCGTGCATCCCGCACCGTCCCTTTTGTGTCTAAGGCAATTGGACATCCATTGGCCAAATATGCTTCGCTTGTCATGTCAGGGAAGTCACTTCATGACCTATCTTTCACAAAAGAGGTGATTCCAAGACATGTATCAGTGAAGGAAGCCGTTCTTCCATTTGAGAAATTCCAAGGCTGCGATGTGTTCTTAGGCCCGGAGATGCGTAGTACCGGTGAGGTAATGGGTATTGACTATGTGTTTGCAATTGCATTTGCTAAGGCTCAAATTGCTGCTGGGCAGAAGCTACCACTTTCTGGCACTGTGTTTATCAGCGTAAATGACTTGACAAAGCCCCAACTTGCAACAATTGCTCGGACCTTTTTAGGACTTGGATTCAAAATTGTTTCGACTTCTGGGACGGCTCATATTCTTGAATTAGAAGGCATTCCAGTAGAGCGAGTGCTGAAGATGCATGAAGGGCGACCACATGCGGGTGACATGATTGCCAATGGGCAGATTCAGTTGATGGTGATCACAAGTTCAGGTGATACACTTGACCAGAAAGATGGGCGGAAGCTGAGGAGGATGGCTCTTTCTTACAAGATTCCAATAATAACCACAGTTGCTGGAGCTTTGGCTAGTGCAGAGGCAATAAGGAGCTTGAAATGTAGTACTCTCAAGATGATTGCTCTCCAGGACTTCTTTGATACTAGGAAGGAAACAGGCAGCCATAAGAACTTGCAGTCTGCCTCTTCCTCTCTTTGAATTTACTTCGTATTTTGGTAAGCACATTTTTAAAATTAGCTTTTCTGAGTTTTTTTTTTTTTTTTTCCACCCATTTTAATCAAATTTTGTTTGGACTTTGGACAAGCTTTTCTTAGTAATTTGTTTTAGCGAATCTTTTGACTTCTCATCTCTTTGTGAAGGTATGTGTTAATCCCATTTTGGCTTTGCTGAAAAATGGGTGAAAGTCATTATGAATTGAGCTTATGGACACCAATTTCTGCAAATGCTGCTTTGCTTTTGCTTTTGCTTTTGTAAATTAAGAAGCTTAGTATAAATATCTTAGATGTTGATGCAATTACCCTCAGTTATGGTTTTCTTGACTATATATTTTCTACAAAAAGAGTCATCTTTGAGCTGTAAGCCCGTAATGCTTCCTTACTCAGTTACTATGAGAAGTTCCTACTTTTGCGACAGGCCTGTTTGTTTTGAGGATCAAATTTAATTTCTTAATCAGCACATGTTATTATCTTTCTTAACTTCCAAGTTTTTTGTTTTATATGGTGTTTCTAATTTATTTTCTCACAGTTTGCTGTCTCAAAAAACCCCATTAACTCCCATTACAAAGGGAACAAATATATCATTGATAACTTTCAAACTCCCCCTGTTTCTCTTGTTTATACATAAGAAATTGCTAGTATAATTTAATACATATTCCTGGCAAGAACTTGGTAATCAAGGGTCAAAACTTGGTTAGTGGACTAGGTAGACTGAAGAGTCAGTTCATGAGTGTTTAGTTGTGGGAAAAAGAGAATGACAAAGGGAGTTCTAAACTAGGGCCAGTTTTACCACTTAAGATAAGTTCTGTTGAAGATAAGTTCTATTTGGAAGGTTAAATATTTTCTTAGCTGATTGCATGGATACGTGCTTAATGTTGAAACAGTAAAAAAAATTCTCTCTCCCTTTCTTTCCCTTATGCTCCGTTCGGTAGGAAGGAAGAAAATTGGATGGAAGGGAGAGAAGAAAGAAAGGATAAGACGTCCCTAGGGAAGAGATTACGAACTTCCCTCGTTTTGTTCAGTTGGGTGGAAAAGAAGAGAATAAGCCGACAATTTACTTTGTTCGTTAAGACAGAATGAAAAAAAAAAAAAATTAAATTATTTTTACCATTATACCTTTACTATTTTTACTACTCATTTGAACCTTTATTATGCATTCCATTAATTTCAAATTTGTTGTTGGTCTTTTATATATATATATATAGTAGAGTCATATTTCATCATTAAAAAAAGAAAAAGAAAAAATAACCACTATCTACATTCCTGGAAGCAGAGAGGGGGATTCCATCACAGGGATTCAAATATCTAATCCTGCGGTCCTACCTACCGCATGGGCATTGCTGTGCATCTAACCTCATAAGCTCCTTTAGCTCTCTTCTTTATATACTACCGAATAGAGCATTACATACAACTATGAAGATGGGAGTATCTATCTTAATGTGGTTCAACTATATGTTCTTAATCTTTTGGTAGGAATTTATGCTCCTGTACTATAGATTTGTATATGGAAGAGTTTGTTGATATTTAGTATCCTGATATGCTTTATTCATTTTGAAATAACAATTTAGATGTTCTATCAGTTTGAGCATTGTTTTCATTGGATTGGGAATTTTCAATATGGACTGTCAGTGATAGAGCTGCTCACCTTTACATGCTTCAAACTGCAAGCATTTGACCTGAACTAGTGTGTGACCACAACCATTTTTACCTTTTCGTGTTAGGAAATGTTGATACTTGAGTTTTATGGGGGGTCATGCTTTGAACCAATCTTGTCTCAATTGGAGAATCTATTACACCATACATTTGTGAAACTGAAAGAGGGGTGTTCCAACCAACATGTATCACTGTGAAGAATCAGATTTTGAGACAGTTTGGTTTCTCGGCCACCATCCCAACTCAGCCATATTGTGCTGGTCTTATGACATGTTTGGTTCCTCTCTCATTCTTTCAAGATGATGATGTTTATGCTCGTGCTCGACATTGGACTTGATTGGTTTTAATTTCCTTAAAGCTCCTTGGTGTAAATTTTATACTTCGATGCTGGGATATGCATTGTACTCTTCCTATCATTCTCATTCTCTGTGGTGTTACCCCTTTATTTATTTATTATTATTATTATTTTATGTTTTATGTTTTCTTGTTTTGCTAGCCAATCAGGGATTGAATTTGAATCCTTTTTTGGTTGAGTTTCCTCTTTGTTTGTTAGTAGAACCATTTTCCTTTTCTTTTGCAGGACCATGTTTCTCTTATGTGAAAGAAATTACGGGTCTGTTTCGTTTGCAACTTTGGAAACAATTTTCTATTATCAGATAATTGAAAATTATATAAAAAATCTACTTAGTTCAGTTTTCTGAAAACTGTTTTCAGTTATAAAAATATATGTTTTCAGATAACTATAAAAGTTTGTTCTTTGATAATAGTTTTATGTTTTCTGAGTTTTTGAGAATCGTTTTTAGAGTTGCAAAACCTATCAAGGCCCTACATTTTCACGAGTATTACCAAGCAAAAATGAGAAGGATTTAATATGGCAAATTTAGGCCATGATAATAAAAGTGCATCTATTTATTAATTTGTTGTTTTTAAACTGAGTTTGTGGGGAGTAGATAGAGTAAATAATTCCAAAAAAGAAAGAACATACGTGTACAAAACGATACTACCAATAACTAATTCAATATGCTCGAGAAACATGGAACCCTTGCAGAATGCAGAGTCTTGCACTACTTGCAATTCTGCATATAGTATTAGTTATTTATTATATATATATATATATATATATATATATATTGTAAATATACAAAATTATATTTATTAAAACAAACTGAAATAGCTCACTCAAGAATTACTTTCTGATTTACAATTCCCAGCGATTGGCAACACATAGGCTCTAAGTATCTCTCACCTTTGCTCTTTATATATATATATAAGACCAAAGTAGAAGATAGTGTTAGCTCCTAATCATATCTTGGGAGAAAGATGAAATAAAACTATTAGTATTTTATATACCCAATAAAGAATGATTTTTAAATAAGCAAGAAGAATAATGTTAAAACAAAAATAATTTTTTTATATCTCAGATTAAATATCCAAGAAGTTCATTCAATTTATTTGCATTGGGCCTAAAATTAGATTTTTTATTTTTATTTTCTAAATAATGCAGAATCAACCCATCCATCCGCTAGTCACTTTAAACTCTCGAATATGGGAAATCACCAGCAAATTACACCTATCATTGAGTTTTCGGTTGGCCTCAGGAGACCTCTTTATTTACTAGGCTACACGTACGAGTTTATGAGACTCTTTAACTACTAGATAACTATGATATGTATGTATATATAGGGTAATCCTAAATCCCTCACCACCCCCTTTTGTGATAATAGTTTTTAATACGTAATGCTTGCAATTCCTTTTCATGAAACAATGACGGATCAATGAATATGGGACGTACAGGCAGCCTCCGAATAGGTGATGGAAGATTTTTCAAATCTTTATTTGACTCAATCCAATGCCTCATTGAAAAGTCCCAATTGACGATACTTTTAAAAATATAGTTGAGAGTTTCAAATTGTAGTACAAACTTCTTTATTTTAAAAAAATGTGACACTATTAATTTGCACTTTAGGATTGAAAGGACTTTCAATATCAATATATGTAAATTTAACTCTTAATTTCTACGGATACCAGTCAAGCCGAACCTAACTCAACTAGCATGCCAAGACTTTGGCAAGACTAAGCATGGACAGTTTGTCATTGATTTGGAGGAAAGATAATGACCTCTCGCGGCTTGTTTCAACCTAATTGACATTTATTTTCTCACTGATACCAACACTATTCATTATATGTATGTATATGTATTTCAAATTAAATTAGTAGTATGATAAAATCTAATCGTGATAAAAGAGAAGTTTGTGACTACCACTTGGTGTAGATGTTGATAAGGCACAAACATCTTTGGTCACTAACTATGAATTTTAGGATTCTTTCTAAACTACATTTCACATCATCTGATTAGTATTTATAAATTGATAATTTCAGAAAAAGAGTTTTGTTCCTACAAAAAACTTAAATTTTCGACTTCTACTTTAAAAGAAGAGTAAATACCATTAAACTTACGTCCTTTGGTTGAAAGATTCTAATTCACAACACAAAACAAAACATTTATTCATTTTATTTCTTAAATAATGCTATCATTTACTCTCTCTCTCTCTCTTTTCTTTTTTCTTTTTCTTTTTTAACTTTTGATTTTCTAAATGCATAATTATTCTTAACCATTGTCATCATTCTGGGGGACCCATAAAATTATTTTTCCTCTAATCCACTCATTTAACCGTGTTATATGATTTCACTTGTCCAAAGTCTTATAATTAATATATATATATATATATATATGATTGAGGAAGAAAGCTAGTGACAGGATTGCACTTAGCTGTAGTAAGTGTGCTAGCGGTCTGAATGGGAAACTGGTTGGAAAAAAGGCCTCCATTGCTCAAACTCAAAGCCGTGTGGGCCTCTTTTTTAACCCAAAGAACAAAAAAAATAAAACTTGGAAATGATGACCAGAGTTTCCGAAACTCTACATACTTGACAGCTATCACTAGCATTAGTCTAACCGAAAAGCCTGGCCGAGAAATTTTTAATGCATTCCAGAGATATACATTTATGGATTAGCCTTTTCGATTAGACTATTAAATCTGAGAATTATTATCCAAATAAGAATATTCCCACGGTTCATGTAAATGTGATTTATTATTGGTCCAAGCACATTAATTAGGTGCACAACTTAGGTTCACTTCAATTAATCCAATTCTTCAGTCAAGAATGTGTGGGTCTTTGGTCTTATTTAAGTTGCATTGGTCAAGGATCTCCAGAACCATATGATATAACATTATCAGTACAACTCATTGATTAAGTGTGCAACCTACTTTTCATCCATAAATGTATTGGGGTCCTTGGATGAGGAAGATTTAATTCTTAAAGTACCAATGACATCTCCATAAATCCATGAAAATGAGAGGATAGGTACGTGACTAACTTATCGCGATACTTTTTTAAACAGTCAAAGATTGTATTACGATGATAATACATGAGAGATGTTAAATAAGATTGTAATTAGTGCAATTGACAGCTTGTAATGTATTGGCGTACATTTTTGATAAATTCATAAAAAAGAGTTACGGTCGTAACTCGCTTATAGCGACACTTTCGAAATGGTCAAAGATAATTTGACAGTACTAAATGAGACTCTTCAAATAATAATATGTAAAACGGACAGCATATAATGTACTTAGTCTTGCCGGAAACATGGAATTGAAAATTTTGGCAAATTCCCAAAGCTTAATTGGCGCTATATGTATGTTTTGTAAGATGATGACATAGGCCTTTATGTGCCCCCAAAGGCCAATAAACAATTTTTACTCCAAGTCAAGCAAGCAACAGTGGCTAAAATATATGATTTATGAAGGGGTTCTTAATCTTGGCCTTGCCATGACAAGGACAACCATCAAATTCATTCGACAGAGCACTGTTATAATGGATTGGGTGTTTCACGATCTAATTAAAAAAATTAAGCTATTAAATAGAGTTAACATCCAACTCATGAATTAACATCCAACTCATTTAAAATCATTTTTCTTTCTATTGGGATCCAATGTGAGACTTGTAACACCTTCCATATATATATTATGCTATGGCAAACAAAATATTTTTACCATTTAAACTATTAGACATTTGAAAATTTATAATTGTTTTTCGTAACCAAAGGCTGTGGAGCCTAGTGATATATCTTCTACCTTATAAAAGAATGCTGAGAGTTCAAAGACAAAAGGGGGTGTGAGTTTTTTGTCAATGAATATATATATATATATATATATATATATATATATATATAATTGTTTTCTAGGTAAACTCCATTAACCCCCTTGACTATTAGCTGTTTTTTTTTTGACTAATAATATTTGAACTTAAATTTTCTTTACATGCATCACTATACTTTTAATTAAAAATATATATATAAAAAAAAAAATTAAAAAGTAAAATTAATAGTTATGAGTGCAATATCATATAAGTTCAAATATTATATGTTTACTCATATTATATATTATATATACCATTATTATATTATTAATTTATACAAAGCGTATATATATATATATATATATATATATATATATAGGTATATGAGATGGACATTTGATCGAACAACTAGATCGACAAAAATAAATTTTAATTACAAAATGAGATTGAATGACATAAATTGGTAGGCTTTTTTTCTCATTTTGTTTGGTTAAATAGAAGGGAAACAAAAAAACTGAGGGGAAGTGATATGGTAGGATTTAACTATACTAAGACATATGCTAAAAAAAAATAACATGTAATTGCATTTATAACTCTAGATTTTACTTTAAAAAAAAAAAAAATACTTTTTTATAATTAAAAGTATGATAATATATGTAACAGAAAATATAAGTTCAAAGAGAGAAGAAAAAAAAAACAGAATCTTTGAGCTAAATTCACTCTATTGAGGAAATTGCATACTCTTCATTGATTTGGTTGGTAGGAGTAATTTACCAAAAAGTAACCCCCTCCTCGACTAATTGAAGGGGTTTTTTGGTAAAGAAAAATTATAAAGAAAGTTTAGTACAAAACACTACAAGTGAAACATGAAGTTTACCTTCTATTCTGCATGGACCCTTGTTCCGTGGGGCAGTGAAAAAACATGTTTTGAGTTGAATACTTCTGTGGGTGAATTGGGAGGCATTAATGTTTGGTCGTGATGAAAAAAAAAGGTGTTTTTCGAGTTGAGTTGCTTTGTACAAAAAAAAAAAAAATGTGAAATGTTAATCATGATCTCTACTTGCATGTAACTCCATATTGAATTATATTTTTGTAATTTCATGATAAAAGATGTGCAATTTAGAGCAGCCTTTAAAGAATGATATAGAATATCATATTTGGAATGAATTAATGTGTCAATAGTGTGCCATGTCGAACACGTTGTGTACTCTAAAATCAGAATTTATGAGGAACATTCATGATGGTCCCAATGTGACATGCATGACTTGCAATTCTATACCTCATTCAAACATGAGCCTACGTATGTTTATCTTGTTTCTTTGTATAACAATGTTATTCAAACTTAATAGTTTAGTCCAAAGTTCTAAAAATGACTCTAGTCTTTGAATGAATTGACTGAATACATTCTCTTCTTTTTTATGATGGACAACCCTGGAGGCTTCTGTACAGTCCATGTACATGTCTTCTTGAACAATCTTAAAAGTTTGAAAGATCTTGCCACAGAAAGTGATAGCCCTGTCGATTGGTTCTTTAGGTTGTATCCTTCAAGATCGAATTCATTCGAGAGATAGAAATATCTCTAATAGAAGTATCAGTTAAAACTATTAAGTCTGAATGTCATTAGCGTATGTAGAAAAGAGCGGCAAAATTCTTAAATGACTAATCATTAGCCTAATTAAACCGCCACTAAACATGTAATATTTTTTAATATTCCTTTAACCCCAAGTCCACACGCAAAAGACTAATACTAACTCAAGAGATGGAAGTCCAACCACATAGCCACAAAAGTTAGAATTTTCAATGAGTTGGAAATAGAGGGACACCACCTTGGATTAAAAGTTCAAAATAAGTAACATCTTCTTGGACAGAAGTCTTTATAGGACATGTACATCAGAGAGTGATGATTCGGTGAGGACAAGCTCTTCTAAGCTTGAGCGACTTTATATGTTTGATATATGAGCGACTTTATATGTTTGATATAAGATTCAGTGAGCACAAGCTCTTCAAAGCTTGAGCAACTTTATATGCAAAAAAACATCCTTAAATTTTTAGTTTAGTGCAAATAAGTCTTCCTGACAAATTTAAAACCTAAATTGATTAAATTATCCTGAACCATTTTATAAAATATATAAAAATAAATAATTTTGTAAAATAATCGAAAAAAATACTATTGGAGGATTCCTCTCACGTGCAAAAAACACCCGTAAAGTTTCAATCTGGTGCAAATAGATCCCTCTAAGAAATTTAAATCGTAAGTTGACTAAATTACCTTTATTGAACTATTTTGTAAGACGACATGAAATAGGCCAAGAGAAACCGATTTGTTATTTAGATAATTCTACGGCTATCGAAGTTACTGTACTGTAATTGACAAGAAAGTATTCGATATCTTGGAGAATCGAGAATATAATATTTTCGACTAATAAAAATCATCAAGAAAAATAAAGAGTTTTTCATTAAGGAAAAAAAATACAAAACAGATAAATATTGAAAAGAGTTTTCCTAAGAGGAAGAGAGATACCGGGATTTGCAAGAAAATCATCTTAATTCATTATACTAAATTATACCAAAAAAGTGGCCTTTCAATTTAAGAGTGTGTGTGGTGATTTGTTACTAGGTTCAACCCAAATGCTCTTTCAATTTATTTATGTAGTATTATATATATTTTTTACATTGGTGGTATGAAGAATTTCGTCCACCTTGCGAGAAAGCAAAATATTTTACTATAAAAATTCTAAATTAACAAGTGAATTTTTTTCTAATTCCACGAGCCAAACGAGTTGACATCTCTACCAACCTGACCCCACAAGGCTTGTGAAGCCATTAAATAGTGGACACGTCACCGAGTGGCCGTTAGAAACATTGTCGCTCTGGTGGCCAACAACAACGCCGCGGCTTTCACACACACACACTCACACTCACACTCGGTGACCGAGTTTCACTCACAGTACCAAACCTGTCTTAGTAGAATTACTACGCTTCTTAGGAGTGGCCATGAAACGAATCGAATTGGATTAATTCTAATTCAATTCACTCTCAATTTGTTATTTCATAGATCCGGTTAGTGAATTAGGATTTTTCTTAAATATTCTATATTATTTATTTTTTAACCAAATTTTAATTTTATCACAATTAATTTATATATTTTAATGATCATTAACTAATATATTTTTAGAGTCCATTAAATGATCATCAACTAATTAAATTAACTAATACATTATTTGAATATATATATATATATAAATCTCACCAATCGAATCAGATCGAACTCACGGATTAGATCGGATTTTTAATAGCTCAATCCGTGAGTTACGGATTCAATTTTTTTAAATTCACCACCGATCAGTGGATATAGTAATCTGATTCGATCCGCGCGGATCGGACCAGATATGATCGGATTCGCGAATTATTTGTCTACCTCTAACACTTCCCATCCAGCGTGGTTTTCACATAGCTAGCAATTTTATTTTCTTTTTATTGTTACAAACATTTGCTTATAAAAAGAAAAATATTATGACAAATAAGATGAGGCTTGAGAGTATATTCATGAATAAATTTTTGACTTACATTAGTCAATATATATATTTAACATTAAGGTGCTAAATATGTATTCAAAGCTTATGAGAAGTACTGAATAAGCAATCAAAACATTTAAATTGTATCAAATGTGTTAGAAATTTAAATATATATAGATTTTAGATACATTAAAAAAGGATCAAACACGTGTTCACGAAAATATAGAAGATGTCTATTTGATGAGGACAAATATTAGTGTTTTGCAAGTGTCCCCATTTGTTTTTATTTGAAGTTTGAGCACACGTCATGTGACCAACATCGGCAAAAAAATTTCTAAGCATGCTCCATTCACCATGACTTTTCATATCATAAATTAAGTCCAAGAAAATTGGAGAAAAAAAAAAGAAAAAAAAAAAAAACGAATAAAAGAAAGAAAAAAGTCCAAGAAAATTGGAAATAGTGAGATCAAAGGGCACCATAATATTAAGTTTTTTTCCTCTATTAATTTTATGGAAATGAACTGCAAAGACAATGGTCTCCTTTAATCCAACTACAAGGCACCAATTCAATTTTTTAAAATTTAGACTACTATAAAATGTCACTTTTTCAAAGAATTCTCTTTGTTTACAAAATAAATAAATAATTAATTAAAGTTAATAAATTACTTGAAATGATAATTGATTATTATTGAATAAAAAAGTGTTACTATCTCCGTTCCACTTTAATTGACCTGTTTTGAAACGGTAACTCATATTTTTAATTCCCGAAACAAGATAATTAAAGGAGATGGAAGGAACATCTCACTCTTACATAAGATAAAGAATGAAATTGAAATAGTAATTCTTTAATCATCTCACAAACACGAATCAATATTGGACCATTCATATATCATATATACTTCATCATGTGCTAGATAAGTCTTTATTGTACACGTTTACATCAACAGATTAAATAAAAGTAATTTCAAATTTGCATGTGGTGTTTATATTTTTCACATATATAAGAAGCCAAAATACAGACGGTAGTTCACTAGTAAATAGTGACAAAGAAAAAAAAAACGGACCTCTGCGCAGCCACGCAACCATTAATTTTCAACTCTTAGACCTATCAATTCTCCTTCACTTCCTCTATATATATACTCGATCATTTGCTATGTCTCATCTTGTGCTACCTCCCAATCTCTCTCTCTCTCTCTCTCTCTCTCTCTATATATATATATATATATATATATATTCTCTCTCTCTCTAGCTTCAAGATAACATGGAGAGCAGTGGTGACACAACCATTGGTTCATCATCTTGTCGCTCTGTTTCACCTTCTTCATCATCTTCTCCTCCTCCTCCTCCTACCACTCAATCCGTCGTTATTAGCCCTTGTGCTGCATGTAAGATCCTTAGGCGGAGGTGTGCCGAGAAATGTGTCTTGGCGCCATATTTTCCTCCCACTGACCCCCTCAAATTCACCACTGCTCATCGCGTCTTCGGCGCTAGCAACATCATCAAGTTCTTACAGGTAAATTTATGCTTAATTCCTTGCTTCATTTGCAGATCTAGCTAGCTTAAGAACTCTTTAATTTGTGAATTTTAAAATATATAGCTCGATTGAGCTCTAAGTTTAATTTTTCAAAACTCAGGGAAGGTCCGTGTAAACAAGAGCTTAGTAATTTTTTTTTTTCTAAATATATTCAAGAATTTAATTACTCGTGCGTGAGAAATATTATGGGCATTATGGGAAAGCCAAAAGTGGAAGTGACATTTCGTTATGAACGGTTGGTCTAAATGTCTAGACAATGACATTTTTTTATGATATTCTGGTGGGTCGTCTTTGAAATTTAAGAGGGTAGATGAGAGCGGACAAACACGTTCACCTAATAAATTTAATCTAGAAATCTGACAAAGAAACTACCAAGACAAGGTAGGGCCTCTCAAAAAACTTCCCTTTGGACTTGGCATGGGATCTTTTATTTTTCCCAAATCACCCTTATTTTTTATTTTTCACTTTTTGAAGTATTTATATGTATATATATATATATACTTCAAAAAGTAAAAATTATATATATATATATATACTTAGAATAATGCTACAATGAGTCGATTGGTTTTTATTTATGTGACTTCAATAAATGGTGTTCAACGACGACTCTTGTCAATATTGAATAAGAATAGAGTTTCTCTCTTTTTCGGATGTTTACCTCAATGAATGACACATCAGTCAGCAATAAGAACTGATCGGGACTTTTGTTTCTTTTCCCTCTTTCTTGGTAATTATATTAATTGGTCTGATAGAGACTCTGATCAATTAAAATGATGCAAAACTTGTAAATTTATTTTAATTACAACACTTTAAACATAACAATTGTGTGATAATTTCAGGAACTTCCAGAGTCTCAAAGGGCTGATGCAGTGAGCAGCATGGTGTATGAAGCCAATGCCAGGCTGAGGGATCCTGTTTATGGATGTGCAGGGGCAATTTGTCAACTCCAAAAGCAAGTGAATGAGCTCCAAGGACAATTAGCCAAAGCACAAGCTGAGTTAGTGAACATGCAGTTCCAACAAGCCAACTTCATGGCCTTAATTTGCATGGAAATGTCACAATCTCCCGAAACGTCGCCGCAACAATCCTTGGACAACTTCTTGGGCAGTCCACAGAGTTTGATGAGCAACCCTAGCTTCCCGGAGGATTATAACAATGCTGGATTGTTGTGGGAACCTCTTTGGACATGAGGATCATTTATAAATCTTGTTACCTAGAAGCTGAACTCTGGGAGAAAAAATTTCAACCCGGTCCCAACCCGATTTTTCTAACCCTGAGCCATGGGGCACCAAATGGGTGGAAAAATTGAAGAAAATATATGAATTAATAAAGTTGTTGTATCTTGGTAGGAACTAGTTAATTATAAAAGCTGTGTAAACAAATTAAGAAGGTAAAAGATGATAAGAAAAGCAAGTTAGGTTCTAATTGTGTCTTTTGATAAAGTGATGAATGTAGTTGATAGGTCTTTTCCCTCCATGTTATCTTGTAATATATGTCTGAGACAAGAAGTCTTTGTTTCAAGTGGCATTGCCATGTTCATTATTGAATCTGAAACAACTTTTTGGTCACCTAATATTAATTTTAATGCTGATGTTCTGATGGACTTCCTTTTCAGACTATAGCTCTCTTTGACCATTTATAACCAATATTTGGAACCACCTACAAATAGGCACCTACAGAAATCATATTCGCAATTCTTTTTTTTTTTTCGATCACACTTCATTTATTTTTTTTTTTGAAAAGAAATAACAAGAAGGTCTCTCAAGTCTCAACTCATTAATGCATCATTCTTTATGTTAAAAATACCAAAACTACTCTTTATATAACTTTAACTTTTTTTTTTTTTTTTCCTTTTATTTTTACTTTCTTTACTTCTTTTACTATTTTTTTTTTCCCTGGAGGTCCTCTTAAACGAGATAATTTATTTTTGGTAGTCAAAAGAAATAATTTATTCAATAATGACTTTTTTTTTTTTTTTTTGATCCAATCAAAACAGATAATTTATTTAACAAAGTTAGCCTTTTTTAGGTATTTTTTTTCAATTTTGTCAAGAGAGGTAACTTTTTTTTTTTTTTTTCGTAATTTATAATAGGTCTTGTCAAAAGAGACAATTTATTCAATAGAAATAAGCTTCTTTTTTTATCTTATCAAAAGAGATAATTTGTTTAGTATAAATTTTTTTTTTTTTGAATCCTATTTATCTTCATTAGATGGCTAATACAATTATTCTTTTAATCCCCTCTTCCCTTTTGAAAAAAAAAAAACTTGATTACGCCCTTGCACCAATAATATAACAGTCAATGTAACAGACGCGATAATAAACACGTCTCGTTATTTTCGACAAAATGGGAAAACTAACAAGGATGGGATTGGAATCTCCGGCTCCGAATCACCCATTCACAAGGTTTTGTCCTACCTTTGGATAGGGATCGATTTTGGACTCGCATCAGATGAGCACCAATCTTCTTATGCCTCAATAGGTATAGTATATGAGGTGGGTGGGCTAAACGCACATTCAAATTTCAGAACAGTAGTTGACCAAATTTTTAATTTTTATGAAATTATCATACCGTGATGTCTTGTCATGTTGACAATCTACTGACACAATTCCGAATTGTTTGTAATTTGTAGATGCAGGCAAATCAGTCATAAAATAAGTGCATTGTTTAAATTTAGATATTTTTTGGATTTAGTGAGAGTCGAACTCAATTTTTAGGAAATTATCATAATGTGAAGTCTTGTCATGTTGACAATCTACTAACACAATTTTAAATGGTTTGTAATTTCTAGATGCGGGCAACTCATTGCATTATTTAAATTTAGATATTTTTGTATTTAGTGGGAGTCGAACGTGTTAATTTATGATTCATTATTTTAAAAAATAGATTTTATAAGTTTTAACTACATTTCTGCAGTTTTATGTTTGCCTGTTTGGAAGTACCAAATTGATACCTTGAAATTGAAACTCAGAATTTCCTCCAATTTTAAGGTATCCAGTTGTAATTTCAAATGTAACATTTTTCTTATTTTAAATTCAAATAGCTTATTCAATGCTCCCAAATATAACAAAAACATTTTAATTGCCAATAAGAAAATCATTTATTAATACTGAAGAATGAATGCTTACATGTGTGTGTGTGAGTACTCCTCTTTCACCCGACTTTAAAAAAATCGATATATTACGAAACCTACGTGGATGTTAACTATATTAAAATCTAAATATATTGGATGATCCTTTTCTCTCTCTACCAAATAAAACAATAATGCATCTTTCTCCCATTCTCGGCAAAACCACTGTTTTGTAGCCTGGAGTTTGGGTAGCAGAGATATCATATTTTGATTTAGAGAAAGAGGAAGTGAGATCTCTCAATTGAGAATGGTGTGAGAGAGTGAACAAGCATATATGAGAAAGTTCGAAAGAACTGAAAAATTGGAGATGCAATGAGAGATTAAAGCCTAATCACAGTGTAGGGTCTCCATTTGAAACTATAAAATAAAACAGAATTACTTTTTGAACAGATAATACAAAGAAAAGAATAGGATAAAATCAAAATCACAAGTTTGGTCAACAGAAGAGAAGGAAAGAGAACACATACAATTAAATAACCCATACATATCTATACGTTTTGATGCAATTCTTGCAATTATGAATCCTGAGATTCTTTGAAACATAATAAAAAACATGCAATGACCCTACAGATTAAATGAGTGCTTAATATTTAGTATCATGTATTTTTGTTCTTCATGTTTCTTTCCTCTTCTTTTTTATTTAATGATTTTTCAGACTTTTCCGATGGAGTCTCTCACTCGAAAAAGAATTTTGTAACCAATTTTTTTTTAAGCACAACACATCGGACATATAAAGGGCAAAGAATTATAGGTAATATACCAAGAGATAACCCAGGAGTTAAAATGATATTTTTGTTTGAAAAATATAATGCATTTAATCTGTGTCGATTTGTTTGACTTAAAAAAATTTATCCATTTGATAAAATGAATAAACTCAAATGTGGTACTAACATTCATTCCTTTAAAGAAATAAAAATCATTGGAGGAGACAAATCGACTTAAAAAAATCATTTTCATATATATATATTTGACGCGCTTTGATACACAACAAAACATTTCGATATGCAACCATTAATCAAGATTGCACATGCATGCCTTTTGCAATGTTTGGAATGATTTCGTTGGCACTAATGATGACAATTCTAGTTTCTTAAACGCGTTTTAACCATGAACAGAATCATGTGCGCCCCACGTGGTTTTGTTTACAACATATAAATGATCTCATTTGACAATACTGTCCCTCTGTCCCAACAGATATCCTCTTCTCAACAAACATGCTTTTGTTTTCCATGTTCCCAACTAAGCACATGACTTTTGACTACAACATAGTAACATGTGTCATGTACCACTCTAGACTAGAGGCTACATATATATACAGTATACACTACATGCCTAATCTTGACTGCTATATTTATTCAAATACTCAACATATTGTCTTTAGTTGGAGCCTATCATCCTATCCATAGAAGTCCAATATTGCTTTTTCATTCACCATATGATTATAATTATACCATGTTTAGCAATAGGATTGACATTTTGGATTTAAAATTTGAGAAAATTTAGTTTAAATTTTGTAATAAAATTCTTTCAATCTCATATTCAAGGAACTCATGATGAATTGTGTCTCTGTCTCACGACCACTCCATCAAAATGGGCTTGTTGACTCCGGTGCCTCACTTAAAATTCTATCCAATGAAAAAGTGGTTCAACTTCATAGTCATTCCAAAAATTACATAAAATAATTTAGGATAAATTTCACTTACCTTTTTTAAAATTTATCAATATTTCACATAGAATCCTCTATATTTCATAATCTCAATTATTTCCAATGAGATTATGGTTTAGGTAATAGATTCTCCTTTGCCAGGCCATTTTATCCTTCTCATGCCTGAAATGATAGCAAGTATTTTATAGACGAAATGGTAAAAAAAGTCACTTACAAGAGAGGTAAGGAAAATTATGAAACGTAGAAGGGTTTATGTGAGATATTGACAAATTTTAAAAAAGGTAAGTGATATATACCTAATAATTTAATATCTAAGATTCATTAAAATTATTAAATAAATGAACATTAGTTGAGATAATATGATCTTGAGCTTTTGAGTTCTATACCACATAATATTGTGTATGTGGAAAAGATAAAACATAAAAAAATATGATATTGGACTTTTTAAGATATTAAATATAGTAGGTAATTTATCTAAGACATGAAAAAAGAAAAAGAAGAAGAAAAAAATTCTAAGACATGAAAAGGTTGGTGGTTATCAGCAAAAACGAGGTACAGTGAAACCTTCCAAGACACGTGGCCGACATATGTAGGAAGACTTTTAAAGACACATGTACCCCCAACAAAATTTCTCAAGAGCCCCCACTCAGGCAGGCTGGATGTGATTTAAGCAAAATTGTATCAGTCCATTGAACCAACGTGTAAACTTTGTGTCTAGGAGCGATTTGGGGTTATATTTTTGAAGTGGTTGTCGCATTGATTGTCAGAACTTTCGGTCTTTTCAGTTTGTTGCGTTCTCTCATAATAATTTAGTTTGCAGAGTGTTGGGTTCTATTTCTTTCCAAAATCTGGAGCTTGTTTTTCATTTATTTATTTTGCTTCAAGATTTATATACCTTTTTTTGGCTTGACTTTATGTCTCTGTACTATCATCTTGACTTTTGACCTTTGTACCTTTAAATGACAAAAGTAAAAATAAAAATAAAAATAAAAATGTGGGTGTGGTTTCACAATGACTAGTCATATATAGCATATTCACGTGAACAGTTATTTATTTTTTTTATTTTTAATAGGTAATTCACAGACATCTTGTTCTCATGGAGGCTCAAACTCCTCTTCTCCTGCTACGTTAAAAGAAGGAAAGTTATATCATTTGACTAATAGTTCATTACCAAGGGCCTCGTGGCTCAATAATATTTTTTTCACCTCTCAAAGTGGGTGATGAGAATTCGAATCTTTTAACGGAACAAAGTGGATGTGTAAATTTTTTTGCTAATGACAATATATATATATATATATAAAATATTACTTCAATTTTTCAAACCGACTAAATCACAAATATTGAATTAGTAAAATTCACATATGAGGCTTACTTATTGTGTGGGTTTTGTTTAATTGATTTGAACAATTGTTCAAAGTGTTTTTTTTTTTTTTTAGGTAGCATATGTCGGAAATACTACTCCACCATAGTGTGCATATAGGTCTCCTGGGTTTAGCAATTTTCTTTAGGTAAATTTCACTTTAACTCCTCTAAAGTTTGTTAATATCTCACATAGACCCATCTATGTTTCACAATTTCATTTAGCCTTATGTGAGCAGGGACGGACCCGGGGGACAATATTGATTTTTTTAATAATTTCAGGGACAAATATAATATTTCATAAGTACATATATCAAAATGACAAAAATAGGAAGCATGATAGTGAAAAGAACAAAAAAAAAAAAAAAAATCAGGAAGGTAATTACAACATGGGGTCCGTCCCTGCCTGTTAATGTTTTACTATTTTACAG